GAAAAAAAAATATCCCAAGGAGGAAAAGCATTTTTAAAGTAGAAAAAATCAATCACCAACACAACCTGAAGCACAGGGATGGAAAGAGACTCCCAGAGCTGCTTGAAAACACAGATTTTATTGGCACATCAGCAATAAAATCGTGTTCTAGCAACCCCTCAGGGCCAGGCTGCACACAGGGATGCAGGACCAGCCCCAGGCCATGGGAAATCTGGGACAAAATCCACAGCAGAGTTTAGAGATGAGCCCTGATGCAGCTTTTCCACTCACCCATCCCCAGACTCTCCTTTTTCTCTCAGGCTTATTACACAAACTCGAAGAAAAACTCTGCTGTAAATACATTAATACAACTTTCTTCCCTTTTAAAAAATGACATCTCATCATTGTGAGAGCTTCCAGATGATGTTAAGAATCCTCTTGGCTTCTGGAAAGAAAAAAAAAAAAAAAGAGCCCAGACTTGGAGCAACCGACCTCAAAAATGCCTTTTGTGTAGTTCCTTCATTTATTTATTTTAGTTCCACAGATTTTCCAGACACGTCCACAGAGAAACCACGACATCATTTGGATGCTTCAGCCAGTGCTAGGCTGGATTTCAAGAGACTTGGGACTTGCCAACAGTAACCAGTGGTTAATTATACCACGTTGCCAACCCAATTTTTTCCACATAACATTAGATTTCAACAAAATGTTTCCATTCTTTCATGTCTCAACCTTTTTTTTTTTAATTTTATTTTTTGTTCCTCTGGTTTTGCTCATTCTTCCCATCCTCGGTGTTGCTTTGTTGCACACAAAGGTTTTATTGTGTTTTTAAGGACTGAAAATTCAATCCCAATCACATCAAATTTAGTATGAAGAGTTAAATAAAGTGAGGCCAGGCTGGAAGTGAAAAAACTTCTCCCAAGGAAGAGAGGAGGTAAAAGGAAAGGGAATTCACTTTATTTCCCAGAGAATTCTTCTCACTTTAACCAGCACTTCCCATTTACCAAAATCTGGGTGTTACAAACTGACACCCACATTTCAAACAATACTTTATACTCTACTTTAGACCCAAACAATATTTGACACTCTGCCATACAATATTTTATGCTCTTTATACAATATTTTATACTATTTTCTGCCAAATGATCCATTTTCTAGAGCAATTGCTGCATCCTGGGGATCAAACTCCAGCTAAACTCAGGAGGCAAAAGGAGAGGTGGGCAAGTGTGGACAGAAGGGATGAAATTCCAGATTTATCCTGATTTCCCCTGTCCTAGGGGCTGCTCACTTTAAAGTGAATTCCCATGGAGCTGCTCTTCCCAATGAGTCTGTCCCAGGAGGCCCTGGCACAGCTCTGGCTGCCCCTGGATCCTTGGAATTGTCCAAGGCCAGGTTTGAAAGGGCCAGAAAGCTCCTGAATTTCTGTGGAAGCATTGCCAGCTCTTTTCTCCCTGCAGGTTTCCACATTTCCACAGGGATTGCCATCCATCCATCCATCCATCCATCCATCATTCATCCACCCAGGAAGGGCATCCCCAGCTCCCCGATCCAGCAGGTCCAGGAGTCAGGATACAAGACAAAAAGTCAAATTTTAACTGCCCGGCAGATAAACCCTATGGAGTGAAGAGCAGTTTCCTGGAAAGCACTTCCAGATTTTTCCTGAAGTCCAGACTAAACTCAAAACATCTCAAAATGCCACTTGGCACTGGGCATGTCCCACAGCAATTCCTCCTGCTCCTCTGGCTCGTGGTAGAAATCAAATCCTACCTGTGTGAATGCAGCTCCTGCCCTGGGGACAGGGGGACAGGGATGGACAGACAGCACCAGGAGCTGAGCACAGCTCAGGGCACAGGAAAAGCAGTCGGGCACCACCAAGCTGACAGGGACATCTCTGTGCCACTCAGGGCCTCAGGGACGGTGGCAAAATGGGAAAAATGGAAAATCTCCTTCAGAATTAAAGCTGTGATTTGCTGGTGTTTAACTGACAGGGCGATGTTCAAAGGTTGGGCTCAGGGATTTGGGAATCTTTTCCAATCCCAGGGATTCTGTGCTGACCCCTTGCTGCTGCCAACTGAAAGCAAAGAACCCAAATTAACTCAAATTAAATCAGGGGTGTCCCACCTCCACAACTGCAGCACTCAGAGGGGGGGCAGCAGATTTGTGAGTCCTCCCCAAATCTGAGAGACATCAGCACAAGCCCTGCAGTGCTGAAAAACTGAAAAACCCATCTCCAATTCCCAATCCTAAAGGGCAGGGACAGCACCCATTTAAAATAAGGATTTACAACCCCTTTCCAGCCCCTCCTGATTTCTCCTAGGGCACACAATAAACACTAGAAACAACACCAAGGCAGCTTTTTAAATTTCAACTTGCTGTTAAAAACATGTTTTGGTCAGAGCCGGGTGAGTCCTCACTCCTGTCCTGTGTGCACACCAAAAATCAGCAACTCCCCAAAGGGTTTTGTCTTAGAGTTACCCCAAAGAGATGAAATGGGGTTGGAAATGGGATTTGAAATGGGATTCCTCCCATTCCCAAATTTAAGGAATTCCCTGAAATCAGGGAATGCTCAGCATGGAGTTTTCCTCCTGCCCCTGGAAGAACAAGACCAGTTCTCTACTGTCCCCTGGCCAGGGCTGGGTGTTTTTAACTTCCAAATTCCCAACCTGGCAGTGCATTGACAGCATAATCCAGCTTTTACAGGAGAAATTGGAACTGCCACCCATTCCAGACCTATAAAGTCAAATTTCTTCTTGTAAAACAATATCAACACTTTTGATTGGCAAAGTATTGAAATAAACCTCTCTTTTAACTGGCTGGATAAAGATTTTTCTAGCTCGTTTAGGTGACTGGGGAATAGCCAAGGTAACAGGATACAACATAATTTCCAGCATTTTTATTTTAGTTTGGATCCTCATTACTCTTTGCCACTAAAGGAAATTGCTGCATCCAAAAAAAGTTTCACCCAGAAACCCGATTTGGTTTTTACAGGGATTTGTAAGAGCAGAGAGGGGTTCCAGCTTTGTCTGCGGGTTTGATTTTGGTGTGACATCATCTGTGCAAATATGGGAAAATCTGAGCTGGATGGGCAGTGGTGGGAGGCAGCTTTGACATTGTTATTTCCCTGTTATTTGCTGGAAATCCTCTGTGCCAGGTGCCATCCCACAGATTACAGGGAAAATTCACCTCCCCACACAGAGAAACCAACTATCCTGAAACTAAAACACCGCAATAAAACCAGAGACAACGTGGAAAAAATTAAAAAAAAAAAAAAAAAGCCATCAAGACCATTAGTCAATGCCATCAGCAGCCCCAGTCTGGCTCCTCCCTCACCCAAATGATTTGATGTCCTATTAGGCGGCTCATTAGGAAAACTCAAAGCCTTTCACCACAAGAGTCATTCCTCAGAGCTGCACAAAAGCTCCCAGCCATCCTCTACCCCGGCAGCTGCCCCCAAAAGCTGCTTCCAAAGTCACCTGGGAACTTCCAGAAGCGCTTTGGGATTGTCCGAAGGATGAACACAGACAGGGAAGTGCCTGAGGATGCTCAGCATCAGAACGGGCACGAGTGAAAGGAATAAATTGTTGTTTTTCCTTTGGAACACAGCGGTCTGGTGATAATTCAATTTTCAGCTGATACAAAGTACCCGAGCGGGCGGCCTGACAAGAGGAGCTGGTGGAATTCCAGCGCTCCAACATCCCAATCCCTCTGCAGGACGCACTCGGGGATCTCCCACCGGCCCCTAACTTCCCTGCAGGGATGTTCAGGACATTTTATTCATTGAGTTTTCCACCCTGCTCAGCCTCCACAAGCAAAGCCTTAATGGAAGCATTCCTCCAACGCCCACCTCTTCTTCCTTAAGGTCATTTGAAGAGGCCAGAAATGAAAATAATTGGCAATCCCGCTGCTTGACACAGAGAATCCCACTGCTGTTCGTGCTGGTAACACTCAAACAAACCCTGCAAAAACCACCCCGAGGACACGAAATTCGGGCAGGGAAGCTGAATCCCAGACAGCCCAGCTCTTCAGGGCACTTCTCGGCTTCTCAAGTTACCCTGAAGAACTCGAGTTTTAACTTCGCAGATTTCAAAACTCGGCTCGGCCAACAAATCCTGCCCTGAAGTCCAACACAAACAGAGCTCGGCAGCGCCGGTGCCTCCGAGTGTCCTCTAGAAACCGGGAAAAGGCTCTGCAAACACCCACAAAACTCCTCCAGCACCCCACAAAGTCTCCCTCCGCCCTGGCATTTCCCAGAGGGCAGAAATTTGGGAAGCAGAGCACTGGAAACAAAACTGCACGACCCCAAAGGGAAGCAGAAATGTGTTCAGTCCCTCTTCTGCACGATTAGAGGGGGGGAAAAAATGACATTCCAGTGGTTTTCTGTGCTGCCGCACATCTGGAAGTTCAGAGCTTCCTCCTGCTGCTCTCAGCCCCGGTTTTAGGGAGAAACCCTGCGGGATTGGGGTTGGTGAGGGGACAGCGAGCTTTGGGGTCCCCGGGCAGCTCCAAAGCTTTTGTGTCCCGAGCTTTGATGTGCGGAGGGAGAGCAGATTCCTGCGGGACAAAAAAACTTTCTGCTCCTCAAGGAGGAGGAACTACGCAAGCCCGGAGGTTTCCAGGGGACTAAATATACATTCACATATATATCCACAGCGAGACAGAAAGAAGCAGAGCCTCCAGAAACTCATGCCCGACTTTTCCTCCGGAAAAAGCAGCCCGGCAAGAGGCAGCTCTCGCTCCAAGGAAGGCGAATAAAGAATTGTTTTAAGTTTTTTCCCCTTTTACGGGCCCCCTGACAAATGGCATTCAGAGACTCGGGCAGCTAAAGGAGGTTGGGTGGGTTTTGTTGCGTGGTTTTTCCTTCTTTTTTTTCTTTTTTTTTGTTTTTTTCCTTTCTGCTGGAATGCACGGGAAGGAAAGAAAGCCAAAACTCTTTGCCCCGCACCAAATCCCCCCTCGCCCGCTCCCCCACGACCCCGCAGCATCTCCCACGCGGTCTGGGGGGGCTCGGGGACCCCCCTTACCTGCCCGGCCGAGGGACAGGGCACCCAAGAGCAGCAGCAGCGCAGCGGGCACCGAGCAGCTCCGTATCCAACTGCGCCTTTTCCACCGCGTGTGCGTATCCATGCTCCCCAAAAAAACGGGGCACCAGCTCGGCGCAGCTTCAAGGAGGCGGTGGGGGGGGATGAAAAAAAAATTTTTTAAAAAATTAAAAAAAAAAAAAACAATCCAAGCTGTCTCTAGAAGAGCAGAGCAGGCGCTCAGCCCCCCCGGCAGCCCCCCCCGGGGAGCAGCCCTTTATAAAGCCATGGGGCGGGCGGAGGGTGCGGGGGCTCCGCCGCGCTCAGCTCCGGCCCTGCCTGCTCCTCCCGGGCTGCCGGAAAAGTTTTTCCCTTCTCTCTCCCTCCCTCTCTCTCTCTCTCCCCACACCGCCCTTTTTTTCCCCCCTTCTTTTAAACCCGAGGCAGGAGTTTGTCAATCTCGGAGCAGCGCAGCAAATCAGGGCCGGGCGGAGCGGCCCCCCCGCCCCCGCCGCCGCTTCCAGCGGGATGTCCCGGCCCCCAAAAGCGATTTTTTTCCTCCCCTTTTCCCCCTCTGGAATAGCAGCAGACGATTTTTTTTTTTTTTTTTCCGCCTCTTCCCGTCTCCTCGCTTTTCGCTGCGTTTCTCGGGAGGGGCAGCGTTGATGTGCCCTTGTTGGAAGGCTGGAAAGAGAATTTGAGGCTTTCTGGGCTGACAGGCACTGACCCCCGAGGGAACACTGAGGAGAAAGAGAAGGATTCCAAAATGGAATGATAGCACGGGGATTGTGATTATAAAGTTTGAACAGAAGTGTGTAAACTGATATAAAACTTAAAGTTTTAGAATATAGTTATATATATGCAGAGGCAAAATGGAAGTTTTAGGGCGAAAGCTGGTTATTCTTCTTCGCCTTCTTCTTCATGAGTTGGAGTGATATCGTGTAATTAGATAAAAAATCCACATTGCAGGCCACGAGCGGTTGGTTATTGGGTTAAAAGTAAAAATAATTTAAGTGTCATTTCCTAATTAGACAGTTTATCCTTAAAAGACCTCGTAGAGAGAGAGACGGTTCCAATTCTTAACTTGTTAGAAAGAAGTGCTGTAGAACTCACGCTTTGTGAGGCTGTAACATAGATAAAAACTAATAAACATCTGGAACACCAATTCACACATTTAATCCCGGCCTTGGCAGAAAAAATAAAGGAAGAATCCACATTGCCTCTGCTGCCTGGTGGCAGGGAATGGCTGGAGCTGGGACAGGAGGTTGGGGTGGCACAGCAGAACGCCCAGAATGTGGCCAGGGAATGGTCCCAGCCCCAAACCTCAGTGGGATTCTGGGGTCAGGGTTGGGCTGGATCCTTGTGGGTCCCTTCCAGCTCAGGAGATTCTGTGATTCCATCCCATGGGGGTGTGGGAAATGCAAGGATTTGGCACAAAAAGGAGTGTGTGCAAAGGGTAAAAGTGCAAAGAAAGAGTGGAAAGGGAAGGGGTTTCCCTTCCCAGGATAGTGGGAGTTGGGGTGGGAAAATCCTGTGGCAGGGAAGGGATGGAAGGGACAGAGAGCTGCAGGTCCTGGGGCTCTTTTTGTCACTGTCACCACAGCAGTGACAACTGATAAACCACACTGGTAAAACACCACCTTTCATTGTTCTGGCACTGCAATATCAGAACAGAGCTCAGGGTTGGAACTGGATCATCTTTAAGGTTCCTTCCCTCCCAAGCCTTGCTCTGATTCTACGGAAAAATAAAAGCTCCAGTTCCTTTCCTGCACCATCCCTCAGGTCCCAGGAGAGGACAGATCCCACTGCAGAACTGGCTGCAGACCCACAATGCTGCAGACCCCTCTACAAAATCAAAACAAAACAAAAATCCGGTTAAATAGAGACCAGAGAAGGAAAAACAACAAAATCCAGCCCTTTCCCTTAAATAAATGCCTTGAAGATGCTTGCTGCTATCAACACTCTCTCTGTCAGGGCCATCACTGCTGGCCCCACTGATGTCACTCACCCAGGTGACAGTCCCAGCTCCTTTGGAGCTCATTGTCACTGATGTCACCTGTACAGCCTGGGCCACACCAGAGTGTCCCAACCCTTTCCCCTCTCCCTGCACAGCAGCACGGGAAAAAACACTTCCATGAGCTGAATTCCCACCCTCTGCCTAGCCTGGACTCCAATTTCTTTGTCACCCAGCACTCAAGGAAGGACAAGAAGGACATGAAGGACAGTGTCCCGTGCAGGGACAGTGAAGGAGTTTGGGATGGCTCATCCTGTCCCTGGTTTTGGCTGTGTGATGGAAGAACCTGGTACCACGGGGAGTTTAACCATAAATCTTTGACTTGGTGGAATGAGAGTTTCTTGGATGGATAACCAATACCAAACACACCAAATCCTAAAAGGACAAAACCCCCCGGACCAAGCCACGGGAAAGGGATGCTCCCACTCCACTCAGGGAACGTTTCCTAAGGATTCAGTGGGGGAGAGCTGCAGGAAATCCCTCCCTTTCCCTGCTGAGGTACCTTCCCCAGCTCCCAGGCTCGCTGTGGAACTGGAAAAGCTGGAGCCTGAGCCACACGCAGGAAGAGATTCCCTGCTGAAAGAGCTTTTCATCAGGCGGGGGTGGGAGGCAGAGCCCGCAGCCCCGGGGCAGGGCGGGGAGAGGCAGCGCAGCACGTGTGGGGATGGTGCCAGGGCACTCCCGGGCAAATCCCGGGATGAAAACCCCTTCCAGGCCTGCCTTTGTGAGTAACCAGGTGACTGCGGGCTGGCAGGGAAATCGCACCGTGCTCCTGCTCCAGGAGGAGCCCGGAGGTGAGATCTTCCAGGGCAGCACCTGCACAGCCCTGCAGGCACCTGTGCTGAGCTGCCACGGGTGGAGCCCGGGCTGGCACTGTCTGTCCTCCCTCCCGCTCCAAAATATCCCGGGATTGTGGGATTGACTCTATCCATCCTCCCTCCTGCTCCAAAATATCCCAATATTGTGGGATTGACTCCATCCATCCCCCCTCCTGCTCCAAAATATCCCAATATTGTGGGATTGACACCATCCACCTTCCCTCCTGCTCCAAAGTATCCCAGCATTGACACTGTCCATCCTCTCTTCTGATCCAAAATATCCCAATATCCCGGGTTTGACACTGTTCATCCTCCCTCCTGCTCCAAAATATCCCGGGATTGACACTGTCCAGTCTCCTTCCTGCTCCAAAGTATCCCAGCATTGACACTGTCCATTTTCCTTCCTGCTCCAAAATATTCCAGCACTGACACTGTTCCTCCTCCCTCCTGCTCCAAAGTACCCCAATATTGTGGGTTTGACACAATTCATCTCTTCTGTTCCAAAATATCCAAATATTGTGAGATTGACACCATGCATCCTCCCTCCAGCTCCAAAATATCCTTATATTGTGGGATTGACACTGTCCATCCTCCCTCCTGCTCCAAAATCCCAGTATCCCGGGACTGACACTGTCCACCCTCCACCTGCTCCAAAGTATCCCAGGATTGACACTGTCCATCCTCCCTCCTGCTCCAAAATATCCCAATACTGTGGGATTGACACTATTCATCTTCTCTTCTGCTCCAAAATATCCCAGGATTGACACTGTTCATCCTCCCTCCTGCTCCAAAATATCCCAACATTGTGGGATTTACACTATTCATGTTCTCTTTTGCTCCAAAATATTCCAGGATTGACACTGTTCATCCTCCCTCCTGCTCCAAAGTATCCCAGCATTGACACTGTCCAGTCTCCTTCCTGCTCCAAAATATCCCAGGATTGACACTGTTCATCCTCCCTCCTGTTCCAAAATATCCCAGTCTCACGGGACTGACACTTCATCTTCTCTCCTGCTCCAAAATATCCTGGGATTGATCCTGTCCATCCTCTCTCCTGCTCCAAAATTTCCCAGCACTGACACTGTCCATCCTCCCTCCTGCTCCAGAATATCCCAATACTGTGGGATTGACACTATTCATCTTCTCAAATCCCAGTATCCCGGGACTGACACTGTCCACCCTCCACCTGCTCCAAAGTATCCCAGGATTGACACTGTCCATCCTCCCTCCTGCTCCAAAATATCCCAATACTGTGGGATTGACACTATTCATCTTCTCTTCTGCTCCAAAATATCCCAGGATTGACACTGTTCATCCTCCCTCCTGTTCCAAAATATCCCAGTCTCACGGGACTGACACTTCATCTTCTCTCCTGCTCCAAAATATCCTGGGATTGATCCTGTCCATCCTCTCTCCTGCTCCAAAATTTCCCAGCACTGACACTGTCCGTCCTCCCTCCTGCTCCAGAACACCCCAATATTTTGTGATTGACTCCATCCATCCTCCCTCCTGCTCCAGAACACCCCAGTATTCCCAGCTGGGCCTTTTCCCAGGCTCCCAGTGCCTCCTGGAGCAGAAGCTGTTCCACACCACCGTGGAGATCCTTTCTCTCCCCTCCATCTGTTCAGACCCTGAAGTATCCCAAGAATTTGGACTTGGAACCAGGGTGGTGAAAGCACCAGCAGAGCCTGTGGGTTGCAAATCCCCTCCCTTGTCCCTTGGGGTTGGAATTTGATGATTTTTAAGTTGCCTTTCTACCCAAATCATTCTCTAATCCTGTGATTCCAAATAATCCCTGAATATGGCACCAAGGTAATCAGGATTTTCCTGGATGTCTGCTCACCCTGCCAGCTGGGGGGTCCCGTTTCTGCCCCAAATGCCAGGATTTGGGCAGATTTCTGGCCATACAAGCAGCTCAGTGTTTGGGAATGAGCACCTGGATTGTCTTCTCCAGCAGTGAGAGAAAATCCCAAAGCCCTGGACACCACTCCCAGGCATTCCCTCCCCTTCCAGAGGCACTCAGCCGTGGGGAGGGGGTACCTAAAGCCCCAAAACACGGCAGACAAGGGAATTAAAGCAGCTCAGAGCAGTGATCTCCCACACCTCCCTTTTCCCTGCTCCAGACTGACACCAAAATATCCAAACCTGGACCTGGATCAGATGCAAAGCAGAAAAGCTGGCCCAGGAGCTTTTGCTGAGCAGGAAGTCTGAGTTCCCAGTTGCTTCCCAGGTGATTTGGGAGCTTGCACAGACCTGTCTGCTCCTCCTCAACAGCAACAGAAATGCAGAAATCAGCTCCTGGTGGCGAACTGGAAAATTCCAGCAGCCACGTGCCAAGTTTGGGGAGCCAGCCCCGCAGTGGGAGAGGATCAGATCAGCTGGAGGGAGCTCCAGGAGGGTCCCACGAGCTGGGGGGGATGGCAACCCCAAATCCCAACCCCAAAATCCCAACCCCAAATCCCAATCTCCAAATCCCAACCCCAAATCCCAACCCCAAATCCCAAAACCAAATCCCACCTCCAAATCCCAAT